ACGCTCTGCCAGCACTGCCCCTTGTCCCTGTCCCTGCTGTGGTTATGCAGGGCTTTTACTGGGAGCCTAAACTGGAGAAAGCCAGCCTGAAACAACCAGCAGCTTTTGGAGTGTGTGCTGCTGTTAAGTGTGCTGGTGACTTGCATTAGTTCCCACTTAGAGGCCACTGGAAAGCAATCCCTTGGTAAGTGTCCTTGCTGGGTGTGAACGGGAGGAGCTGAGTGCTCCAGAGCTTGTGTTGGTGGTATTAGTGGGAGGTGTGTGGTGATCTTCTCTGCAAGTGTGGTTTGTCCTCAAAGCTGCTGTCCCTGCTGGCACTTGGCTGGGATAGCCCAGACCCTGCACAGGGCTGGGGAAGGCCTGGCTGAGCTCCCTTCGGACAGGGCCTGGCACTGGTGCCAGGGTGGGCGGGCAGTGACGAATGTGTGAGCTTGTGTCACTGGGGTCCTCCTCTGACTCGGTCATTGAAGGTTGTTGTGTGCACCTGTTGCAAAACAGAACTGCTCTAGGTGGCCAAAGGGCACTGCTGCTGCTTGGTTCCCTTTGGGAATGCTGGCTGTTTCCATAAACTTGGGAGAGGGAGTTGCTGCCTTGTGCCAGGGCAGGCAGAGTCCATAGGGCACAGCGGGACTCATGCCTGTTTCCTCAGGGATGGTGGGGAGCCCTCTCTGCTGTCTTGAGCTGAACTCAGGGGCTTCTTGGTGCTACCAGCTGTGATCACGTGGAGCCTCGGGGTTGGGTTATGGGAGGTGGGAGCAGTGAGCAGCCCAGGCTGTGCTTGGTCAGCGCTCTTCCTTCTCCTTTCCCTCTCCTGTGAGCAGAGCTGACACTGTGGTTCACGGCGTGCTTATGGTGGCACAGAGCTTGGTCACTTATTTTTGGGGCAAGAGTCACAGGCTACAGCCCTGACCTGGGACCAAGCAGGCAAATTTTCTAGAAGTACTTGAAATTGATCACAAGCATGATAGAAATAAACAGCTACTTCAACTCAAAGAACCAGCTTCTTGCCCAAATTGCAAACTTAGCTTCAGAGGGAAGGCTTTTTGGTCAGTAGAAGATACCACAGTGTGACTTGCAGAAACATCCTTGTGTTTGACAGAAGGGGAGACCTCCCAGCCATGTTTCATGACCCTAATGCTGTGCCTGCCAGTTGCAGTTGAGGGCTCCTGCCTGCTTTTGGGGGCACCTGCTGCACCATCAGCTGTGTGCAAGAGGGGGGAAGAGCAGATCTCTGTGTTGCTGACCACTTGGTTTTTAGGGCTTTTTCCCCATCTGCTTTGCTGTCAAACTATTCTCATTTATATTTTAATATATTTAACACTGTGATGTGATAGCATCACTGACAGTGCTTCCAGCCCTTTCCTTGGGAGGTGCAAGGAAGTAGGAATATGGTTTTAATAATGAGAAGGAAGTGCATCTTTTTGGCAGCCTGGAGGCCTGCAGAGAGGGTCCTGGTGATTTGAATGTTTAAAACTTTAGGTTTGGCTGCATTCAGAGGCTTCAAAGCTGTGCTGAAATGTATCATCACTTGATTGCAATCTTTCCAAATGTTGTGACTGCCCTGGGTGATGTAGATGCTTCATGTCTGAGCTGAGACTGATTGCTTCACACCAGATGCTGTGTGCAAGGATGAGCAAGGATCCAGGGACTGGAGCCATGATTTCAAACAAACAACAAAACAACAAAAAACCTCAAAAAATAACCACCCCAAAACTATCACCAAAAAATCCCAGACGAACAAAAAGACTCAAATCAAACTAACAGACAAAACCCAAACACAAGCCAAAAACTGAGAAAGAAGGAAGGGGAAATAAAATCTGGTTTATGTTTATTGAAGATACAAAAAACACTGGGGATAAAATAAGGACCTTTGAAAGTGATGTTGGGAACTTTTACCTCTGCATTGTGAATTTCATTTCTCCTTTAAAAATCTGGTCTGATTCTGTCAGGGTCCCTCCAGAGACTTCAGGATTTCTAGGATAGCTAAATTCCAAGTGAAAATCTGGTTTAATTTCACTGGAAGTTAGAAAAGGACACGTATTTGGAAATGAATTGCTGTGAACTGCTGGAAAGTAATTGTTACAGCTGACCAGGTCAAACTGAGATAAACTGAGGAGTAATCTTCCTGTGCTAGGTGAAGTGAGTTAAATAAATAGAACCTGATTTATGAGAACCCTTTAAAAAAAGAAGTATGAGGTCTAGTTCCACATCTTTTGCCTTCATCTTGATAGTTTGAAGCAAACCTTTTCCTAAGAGTGGGGATCAAAAGGAAAAAACCTGTAGCTAAGATGTAAGACTCAAGTAACTAAATGTCCAGGACCAAATGGAGCCCATCACCACATTAAAGCAGTTCTTCTGTCTTTGCTTCCATCACTAGAGTATGAGTTTTCTTCCAGGGTTAGAGGTTGGTATATAACCTTTATGCTGTGGAGGCTTGTGAATGAAGAGACCCAAAAAAGGCTCTAGTCCATGCACCAGATCCATAAGCTTCCAGAAGTGGTGCTGTTTCCTCTGGCTGTGGGTGTGGGGAGTGAGCCAATGGTCTGGCTGCAGCTGGAGGGTTCCCCTTTGAAGTGCTGGAGAGCTGCATCTGCAGGCCAGGAGATAGCACAGCTTCCTCCCCCACAACTCTCCATGCTGCATTCCTGGGAACTTCCTTTCTCCAGGAGGCTTTTTTTCCGACACTGCCTGGGAGGGCAGACCACCTGCAGGGCCTTTGAAAAAGCCAAACCCCTCACTCTGGGAGGCCAGAAGCTCTGCTGCTTTGGACATGGCACTGACTTGCTGCTGAGGTGTAACCCACTCCTTGCTGATTAGCCCAGCAACTGGTTCTCTTGCCCTGCAGAAGGGGCCAGTATCCATGTCTGAGCTCTCTGGAGCTGGGAAGGGAATTGCTGTTGGACCAGGTGCCTTCCACCCAGCTGGCTGCTGCTCACCACACCTGGCTGCTTGAAACTGCTCCAGGTGCAGTTTGTCCCAAGGGATGCTGCTGTGCTCTGTGCAGGGAGGCTTCTCCTAAGTCTTGGCTGCTACCAGTGCTGGACATGGTGCTTGGAAGGGAAGGGATGCAGCTACTGCCCAAAACCAGCTCAGGGTGGTCTCCATCAGCCTTAGTTTTTTAATTACTTCTTCTGAGCACAGGTTTGTCACTGCCCTGCCTGCCATGGGAAGGGCAATAAACCAGCAATGTTTTTACCCCCACCAGTGCCTTTCCTCTGTGTCAGTTCCCCAGCCCACCCCTCAGTGATTTACTGAAACCCAACAGGGAGGAGGACGAATGACCCTGCTGGGAACTGTGCCTTGTTGGCAACTCAGCTCCAGTTGTGGAGGCTTCAACTTGACAGTTTAGTCTACAGTTGTACAGAAATAACACCCAGCTCTAGCTTGGCTCTGGGATCCAGCCATGGAAAGACTGTCTGCAAAGGAGGGGGGAAAGGACAGGGTGACCTGCCTGTTGGAGAGAAAAGGGCAATTTACTTATCTGCAGTCACATCGCTTGCATTTTTCTTCCACCTCCCTGCTTAGTGTCATCTCTAGGAGCCTATTGGGAAGATTTGCACTTGTTTTAGTGCCTTTGTGGTACAGTTGCTTGCCAGGTTCTCCACTGACTTAAACATCTCGCCGGGCTGAGAGCTGGTTGGACTGCAGAAATACCTGGGAGCCCACCCATGATCACTCCCAGGTGGCTGTGGACTGGTCCCTGTGCGCCACAGGGCTTACTTTTATAGCTGCTGCCCCATGGCAGACTACTTTGTGTTCTCCAGTGCTGGACTTTTCCTTGGAGGCACAACAACTAGGCGTGGTTCTTCGCTGCAGACCTGACGTGGTCTCTCTTGTTAGCACTCCCTGAGCATCACCTTCCCTTGCCTTCCCAGCTCCTGGGTGCATGGGCATAACCTTAAAATTCAGTCAGCTTTATTTCTCACCTCAAGCTCAGCTTGGTGCTCACCAAGGAACCCCAGGAATGCTGTCTGGGAGTGTTTCTCCAGCAGGCACAGGTTTGCTGAAGAGGTTCACTCTGCCCTTGAGGCTCAGCCACAGGAGATGGCTTTTTCTCTCTGGTGGCACTGACAGCTGAGTCACTTTTCTGTGTGCAAGTTCAAATGTCCATGGTTTCCTGGGTTGGCAGGATGCCCAAGTACAAGAGGAGAGTCACTTTGCCCTTACAAATCAAGTTTTGAGTTAATTATCTGTTTGGTTGAACAGAGTGTGTCCTTGTGTGTTGGGAAGATAATCTTGTGATGTGGACTAGGGTCAGAGGAGTTCAGAGCTTTGGCAGAGCAGTGGGAGGGAGGGAGTGATGTGTGGTTCCCCAGGGGAAGGACAGAGCTAGATGGGGATCTTGAGGTCTGGGTACTCATCCTTGTGCTACTGTGGACTTTGGGTATGGCTGTGGGCAAGTCACAAGTCACTGACACTCTGCCTTGGCAAGTTGAAAGGAGTAATTCAAGGAGATAGAAGTTACACTGGAGAAGAGAGTGGAAGGGACTGGGAAGCTGAAGGCCCAAGGAAAGGTGGATAGTAAATCCAGTCTGAAGAGTAAATTGGAAATGTTCATCCTTTGTGTTGTAATGACCTAAAGTGGGGATGCTCACAGAAGTACCATGCCACAGTCCTGCTTTCTGGTGAGCAACAGCTTTAGTCAAGGCTGGCCATGAGTCCCAGTTTTGCTGGGGTGTTAGTAGGACCCAGGTCGGGCTGGAACATGGGGCTGTTCTGATGGTGCTGGCAGAGAAGGATCAGAAATCACTTCTGATGGATCAGCATGGATGCCACAGTAAAACTATGGTGGGACAGTGAGATACCATGGGGTGCAACAGGATCTCATGATATTGTGGTGCAGAGTCTCTCTCCAAAGGGTTTTTGGGCTGCCTTGTGCTCCTAGGAGTAAATATGTAGTGGAACAGCGTGCTCTGAATGGCCCTTAATGCTCTTCTGTGGCACGGGTGACTGCTGGTGTTCATTTGGGGTTTTTTTTGCTTCCAGTGCCTCTAACCATCATGGGGGAAGCCAGCATGGAATCAACCATCTCCCCTCCTGACAGCACAGCACAGCAGGCCTCTCTGGTCAGCATGGTGGACGTGTTCCTCATCTCACTCATCGTCGGGCTCTTCACTTACTGGTTCTTCTTCCGCAAGAAAAAGGAGGAAGTCCCAGAGTTCCCCAAAATGCAGTCAATGTAAGTAACAGCTCTTGGGCAGCATGGGGTGAGTGTAGCTTTCCCTCTTGCTTATGGTGGGTCCTTAGAGGCTGTGTGGGAAGCTCAGCTGGATTCTGGAAGGTCCCCAGGTGAGGGGACTTAGTCCCAAAATGTGTTTCTCACGTTTCTTCTGAGCTGTTCACCTCTCAGTGCAGAAATCCCCGTGGAAGAGCCAGGCTGCAGTTCTTCCTTACTCCACCGTGTGGCCTAATCAGCTATTTGCCTTTCCCAAGCTAGGCAGAAAAGCCCCTGGCTGTACTTCAGAACTCTTATGGATTGTTTTGGCTATTTTCTGATAAAAGTAATATTTAGATAAATCTCGAGAAAGGTGGAGTTGCTCTTAAGCAGGTTTCCTATTGGAAATCTTATCTACTCTTAGCTATGAAGAGAATAAATAGTTCCTGAGCATGAGCTGCTTGGCAGCTCTTGTAAAACTTGCTTGGCATTGGTGCCAGGTTACCTCAGCAGCAAGAGACTGGATTTGGAGAGGGCGAAGTCCTTGTTCCATCTGTCTCCTGCAAAAGACTTAGGGCCAGGAGTGAGCCACATTGGTGGAGATCTGGGTGCAACTTAGTTCCTGGTCTCAGTCACATACCAAACTTAACATCAATTTTCTGCTCGGCTTTTTAGCTCATTCCTCCTGTTTCCTCCTGGAGCATTGGTAAGAGCAGTGAAGAGATTTGAAACCCACTGCAGCAGAGACCACAGGAGCTGGTGCTGTGCAATACCTTTCCCTTCAGTCTCCTGGGATCTCTTCCCTGCTGGGGTGCAGTTTGCCCCAGAGGCAAGGGCAGTTTCAGCCCAGCTCTGTGCTTCCCAGTGTCGGGCCTTTGCAGAAGGTAACCACACAACAAAGGTGGATCTTCTGAGTTTGTGATGCCAGCTGCAAATTCTCTGTAGCCTGAGTGGCTGGTTGTGAGGCTGTGCCATGAGGAGAGGAAAAGTGGTGGCCAGCAGTTGCATACTTCCCTCTCATGCCTCCAGGAGAGGGCTGTGTGTATCCATGCGTGTGGCTGCCTCTGGAGATGGCTGGGAGCTCAGCTGGCTGGAGGAACAGGCACTATCAGCCTGGAACTGGCTCTTGATGCAGCTCATGTTGGCTCGGAGGGGCTCCTGTGATCTCTGTCCTTGTGACTGTTTCCTCCCACCACGTGCAGCCCTTCAGAGGCTGTTGTGACCTTGCAGGGAAGTCACACTGCAGAGAGGCTTGCTAACCACCCTGGGGGAATGTGACCACCTTGGCCTGCAGCAGGACCTCAGCACGTGGGGCTTCCCTCTGAGGCTGGCTGGAGGTTTTGGCTCTGGGCTGACTCAACGGGTGTTTTGCCCGGGGGTCTGTGCTGCCTTCTGTGTGAGAGATGGGCTGGCAGGGGGCACTGGGTGTAAGTGCTGCTTGTGGGAGTTGTGGAAGAGCAGCAGCTCCTGTCACTGGTAACCAGGGAGGGGTGGGTCCAGACCTTGTCTGACACAATTCATGGTGGAAAAGTGTCAGCTAGGCAGGTGAGGAGCACGAGAGGAGGCTTTGCAGTCGTGTTTCCTGTATGTAAGTGTGACCCTGCCGTTGTCTGCTGCCCCCCTGCTGTGGTCATTGTATCAAGGTGGTCTGAGAGCAACATGGACCCGTAAGCCAGGGCTGTAGCTGGTGGCACATCCATCCTCCAAGATGGAGACAAAAACTTCCTGAAGCTTTTGCAGTGTTATTTTATGAGACATTTGGAAGCAGGAGGGAAATGAGCGGGAAAAACAAGTTTGTTCAGCCTGGGGTTTCCTTCCCTCCTGTCATCCTTGAGTCTGGGGTGGAGTTTCCTTTCTGATGAACAAACAAATCAGTGAGATACAGGACTGCAGTGTCAGCTGCTGCCCATGGCTGACTAGGTAGCAAGCTGGTCCATGGGAGCAGGCCTGTCTGCAGGCAGGGAAGCTGTCCCAGGCCCATGAAGGCAGAGTGCCCTTGGCAGGGCTGTCTCCAGCTGAAGTGGAGAACCTTGACCTTCAAAGCTATTGCTTTTCTTCAGCACGTTCTCTACAGCTCTGCCTTGACTCACCAAAATGTCCTGAACTGCTTTATCTGATGGTATTGGGTCACCATTTCTGTCACTTTGGCTCTCAACTTCAGCCTGGGAAGAGTGGAGGATCAGCAATTCAGACACGTCCCAATGGCTGGTGCTTTCATGGGTTTGCTTGCAAAGTGGGAGAGTGCAAGCAGAGTCTGACCTGAATACAGGGTCTGGCACCTCAATGCTCTCCTGGGGTTTTTGGGAGCCACTGCAGAGCAGCACAGCTTGATCGAGCCATGTCAGCTCAGCAGGGTCTGCAAAGGAAAGGCTGCTGCTGTGACTGCCCTTGACTGTGGCAGAAGGGAGGCAAGGCCAAGGTACCCAGTTCTGGATGGCACCAGGGCTGGGTTCACTCTGCATGGTTCCACCAGCTGGGTGGCCCCAGAGCAGTCAGGATTGCATCTTTGGGCTCAGCCACAGCTCAGGCACATGCACATCCCTCACCCTCACAGCCCAGTGCAGCTGTTTTCCTGCCAGAAGCCCCCAGAGAAGGGACAGAGTCCAGCACCTGCAGAGGTTTCCATGTACAAAAGCCATCCTGTACCTGTGCTGTGTCACACACAAGTGTGTGGGGCAAGCTGGGATCCCCCTGATGAGGATTACTTGCATTTTGACCGTTTCAGGCTTAATTGCAACCAGCAGAGCAGCCTTCCCCACGGCCTGCTCTGCAGATGTCCTTCGGGAGAGCGGGTCGGTGGCCTCGCCACCGTGGCCCCGAGCTTCCTGGGGTGGCACTGCTGGGGAATGCACTGCTTTATTTTTATTCTTTGGCTGCTGCTCCTCTCTGTGTTTCACAACCACAGATTGCTTTCTTTCTCCTGTCCCTGCTCCAGAGTTGTGCAGACTGTTTCCCTGGGGGGACGCCGGCGAGACATTGATTGGTGTGCTGGGTGTCACTCCCTCCCTTCTCCTCCCCCTCTCCCCATCTTTAACATTGTTTGGGGCAGAAATTGGCTTATCTCTGTTCTGCAGCCAGAGAGAAATCCATTCCCTGATGCTTGTAGGACTTCCTGAGGCAGGAATTGCTCCAACTCCTTAGCCTGATTAGCTCTCAGTGCTGCTTGCGTGTGTGTTGGAGAGACACAGACCACCTCTAATTTAATTTAATAGGATCCTGAAGAGAACAAACTCCTTTGAGCTGCCTCCGTAATGGCACTGCCATAGTTACCCCAGCATTGCTCATGCAGTGTCTGGAATCGTTTCATTCAGCTACAGCCTCAACTTCTTTTTTTTTTTTTTCTTTTTTTTTCTTTTTTTTCAAGAATATATATAAAAGCAGTTGTGATATAAACAGTTGCCAAGGTAACAAGGCTGGGGGCAGGGTTTTGTGTCCCGTCCCTCTGCTCCACACGGATGGGAGAGGGACGTGTGCTGCGGAGGATCCTGGGAGGTTTCATTCTCCACTCCTAATTCCTTTCTGCCACTGCTGCCAGATGTTGCAGCTTCCCAGGACTGCGCGGATCCACTCGGTAACTTCCCCAAGCCCCACCACGAGGATCTGAGCAAAACAGGACCTCTCCTGCTATGACCCGTGCTGGGACCTTTTGTGCCGCCTCTCTTCTCCTCAACAAAAGGCTGACACTTGGCTTTAATGCCCAGGAGGGGCAGAATGGAAAGGCCTGTGTGCCTGTTGCTCCAGAGCTAAGTTAGATCCGCTCCCCGTGCAGACAGACACGGCTGCCCTGACACTCTTTGTCTCTTCCCAGCCCTGACCATGGGCTGCATCTACTCGGCCCCAGGTGAAGAGGCAGCCCCGGCCAGGTGAGTTGATCTGCCCCAGGGGCAGGTGGGGTCGCTGGCGCTCGGAGGGTCACTCCTGACACCCCAAAGCTGGCAGAGTGGGGTGTCCCCGCCGGCTGGGGCAGGAGGAGAGGGCAGGGAGAGGCTGTGCTGGGAGGCAGGCAGCTCCAGAGGAGACCCTGCAGTTTCTCTGTGAAGTCCAAGGCTGGGTTCTCACTTCTGGATGGATGTGTGTGCTTTTGGGAGGAGAGCCACAGGCATGGGAGCTTCCTGAAGGAGAGATGTTTGGCTGAGACAGAAGTTTTGGTGTAATTGCTGAGCTCTTGGGAACTTCCTCCCCCTTCTTTTTTTTACTTCTGAAATCAAAGTGTCAGAGAGCCCTGGGAGTCCCTTGTGCTGTGGGCTCTCACCAAGGGTGTGCAATCTCTACAAGCTAAAGACTTACTCTGACAATGGAGTTAATCTTCTTTCCTCTACTTGTCACTTCTTCTGACTCTCCTAGCTCAGGGCAGTGACTCTTATCTCAGCTGTAAGAGCAGTTGTTGCTGAAAACACACTTTCTCTTCGAAGTTTTCCTGGCTGAGCAGTACAAATGAGTGCCATTTCTGTCTTCAGTGTCTTTGTGTTTTTGCAGCTCAGATTTTCAAGCCACCCTGATGAAGCAATTTGGGGGAGTTGGGTAGCCTTTTTTTCAAAAGCCAGACTCATTATTTCTTCTGTGTCTGAGCCACAGACTGTTCTCCACCACAACACTTCAGTGCAGGGTTGCCTTCTTTGAAAACAGACGAACTCCATGTGCTGCACCCTTTTCTGTTCCAAAGGGAGCTTGCTGAAAGGATCTAAAACGTTTTGCTTTCCTCCTTTAAATGCATTTTGTTCAGCAGTTGACCCAACAGCTATTTTAATTGGATCTCATTTGCATAGGGCAGTAAACCAGAGACCTTCACCAGCAAGCCAAAAACCAAGTGAGAGCTGAGTCTGGTGAGCTGGCTGGGGGGGCAGCTCTCCTGAGCCCCCATCCTGGTGGGGACACAGGCAGGGCTGGCGCTGCTCTTTATGATGCTTGTGGCATCCCTGTTCCCAACAAAGGACAAATGACAACGTGGGGAGACTGTTAAATGCTGAGAGTAAAATGGGGGTTACGAAGTAGCTCTCCTGGGAGCACAGCCTCCTCGGGTAGCTTTTTTGGGAAGGGCTTGCTTGTCTTCTGTGTGGGCTGTGTCAGTGCTCGGAGCAGTCAGGCCAGGTTGTGGAACTCCTTGATATCTTTGGATAGAAGGGGGTGCCTGGAAATGTGCTCTGCTGAGTGCCCCCCACCCTACCACGCTCCGTGTGTGTGTGCTCTGCAAATGTCCCAGCACATCCGCAGAGATCCCTCCCTCTGGGCTGCAGGGTTTAGGAAACTGTTAGTGAGCTCTGCACATTCTCACATGGGCCAGAGCCAAACCCATTTGTTTTTTGCCTGGAGGCTTCTCTCTTCCCACAGGAGACCCAGCCTTGCATTCTTCCATCATGAAAAAGAAAACGGGAACGGGTCCCACGTTCCTCCTCTCAGCTACCAAAGTTCCAGTGGGGAGGACAGCAAGTGAGCTCCTGGCACTTGTTCTCCTGCCTTGAAAAGACCCCAGTGTCTAATCTGACTGTAGCTGGACCCAGCTCTGCCAGTGAGACTCCCAGGTCCCCAGGGCTGGGTTGCTTTCACCCTGTGACACTGAAACTCTGTGGGTGTGCTTAGGACAGCAAAGCTCTTCTGGCTCCCTGTGTAACAGAGCAGCCATGGTGCTGCAAAGCTCTGTCTTGATGTTTCTGGTGCTGCTGTGGTTTGTCCCTCTTTTGAGATAGATAAAAACACCTCCCTGTGTTAATACAAACTCCATGCTGAGGATGGGAATGAGCCCTGCAGGCCCTTGGCAGGCAGAGATGCCCTTGGCAGGCAGAGGTGCCCTTGCCAGAGACTCGGTGGGTCTGATTAATTGCTCCACAGGGCTCTCCAGCCCTGGGACTCTTGTCTGACCTACTGTTTTGAGGTTGGAACAGCTATTTTTTAGCCCTGTCTGACTTCGGGCTTGGGGAATCCACCTGGGGGACATGGCTTGGGACTGATCCCCTGCCTGTCTGTGGGGTGGTGGGGGGAAGCAGGGAGCTCTCTGTTCCCTTCTCTCCCACTGTGGTTTGGCCTCTGAGATTTTTCTGGAGACTTGGTCTTGCATCATAGCTCTACAAGATCCTTGTAACCTTCTCAGCTGTGAAACCTCTCAGAGCACTTGATAGAGTAAAGGTTTCCTGACACTCAGGGCTGAGTTCCTGAGCTCTGCCTGAAGGAGGATTTACCAGTGGAGGTGAGGAGGGTGTCAGCTGTTCCCCTGTGCTCCCTGGTCTCTGTGCAGAGGAGAAGCCCTGCAGGTGAGCACTGGGTATATCCCTGAGATGGGGTAAGGAAGACTGCTCCATGGGGACTCTTCACTGCTTTGGGGGGCTTCTTTTTCTCTGCTTTCTTATTCCTGACCTAAAAGAACATGCCCATCTGAAAGGAGGTTCTTCCTGTCTTTCAGTGCAGCTCCAGCGAGAGACAGCAGCTTCATTGAGAAGATGAAGAAGACAGTAAGTTGCTTTCTCTGGCTACGTGGGGTGCTGGGAAGGTGGGGGAGCTTAGGTCCTTCCCAGCTTTCTCTGAAGACTCTTTAGTTGTCAGCAAGGTGGACTGGTTTGGATACAGACACAGGCCTGCTGTAAAGAGGGAGGCTGTGTGGACAGGCAGGAATAACTCACTCTGCGCCTGAGCATTGTTCTCAGAGAAAAAATGAAAAGTGAAAAGTTGATGCCAAAAAAAAATAATAAAAGAAAGGTGTAAAATGAGATCAAAGTCAGGAGGGAAATGGCAGAGACCTTTAAGTCACTGGCTGTCAGTTGTTGATCTGCATGGTTGGTTCCCAAACTGGCTCACTCTGGAATGGGAGTTGTTGTACACAGAACTGGCAGCTTTTGACTCCTCTGGATTGGACACAAGAGGAAGCAGAGGAAGAAGCAAGGGCTGGATCTATTTTCCATTTCACTTCAAAGTAGCTGGCTTGGAGCAGAGCAGGAGCCCCCGATGCTCAGGCACTTTCCCAAAGCTTAGGCAAGTCTGCTTTCTCATCCAGGGAGTTCCCTGTTTCCAGGAGTCATGCTGCAGCCTTGAGGCTGAGAAAAAAAAAATCTGGAGGGTTATTCTTTGCTTTGGGTTTTAGTTTGACCTGAGTCACCCCTCTGGGACTGACAAGAGTCACATTCTTATTAGGAATTTGGCCTTTTCTGCTGCAAACTCAGCATGGAGCCCTGGGCAGACTCAGTAGCCTTTAGGTTGCAGAGCTCATGATCCCAGGCATTTCCTTTGTCTCTGGCAAGATGTGCTTCATCTGTGCATTGCACAAATGAGTAATCACCAGCTAACAGGGATTATTTTTCCTCTCCAGGGGCGAAACATAGTGGTTTTCTACGGCTCTCAGACAGGTACAGCAGAGGAGTTTGCCAATCGTCTCTCCAAAGACGCTCATCGCTACGGCCTCCGGGGCATGGCAGCAGATCCAGAGGAGTATGACTTGGTAATGTAGCCAGGAACAGCCTCAGGATAGGTTACATCCTTTTAGTGCCCCCTAAAACACCCAGAAAGAGCTTGGCCAAGGGGCAGTTGCCCTTTTTGTAGTGTCGTTTAGAGGAGAAAAGAGCAGCCTGAGATATGCAGGGATGGGCTTGGTTCTGGAAATTCTGCAGGTTTGGAGTGAACATGGCAAGGTGACTGAAACAGGAAAGTAGCCTGGGGTGTTTGGGAGTTGCAAGTCATCCACTGGCAAGCATGAAACATGCTCCATGTTCCTTCTGTAGCTAGCATTGGTCCTATACTGCTCCTGTCCTGGACAGAGTGTACAGAGCCTGTGTCTGAACAGAGGCACTGGAACTGTGGTGTTCTCCAGGGTGAATAATGATTCTGGTCCCCATGAGCCTTGTATGGAAAATCCCATTGCTTTTCTGGTGGGGTAGAAGCATTGACTTGCAGTCCAATGAGGGTGGTTAGCTTTATTTCCCCACCCATTTTGGGCGGGTTTGGCCTTTCCCAAGCCCTTTTGCCATCAGCTGCTTGACGTTTTGGCCCAATTCTGCACCCCAGAGGCAGCTGTCTTGTAGGAGCAGGCTTTCCCAGTCACCACGTTGAGGGCTCCTTGAGGATTGACTCTTTCCTTTGGTTGCAGTCGGACCTGAGTCGCCTCTCTGAGATTGACAAGTCCTTGGCTGTGTTCTGCATGGCCACCTATGGTGAGGGTGACCCCACAGACAATGCCCAAGACTTCTATGACTGGCTGCAGGAGGCAGATGCTGACTTGTCCGGTCTCAAGTTTGCAGTAAGTGGCTCAGTTTGTGCTACAGTCAAAGTCAAAGTCCCCTCCACATGCCTTGGTTAAAGGCACAACGTGATTTTCATGCCTTGTGTGTCTCTGTTGTATGCAGTCCCTATTGTCTCCCTCTACAAGCTCCTGGGATGCTTGCAAACATATAGCTGAGGGCGTTAAATGCAGATGGCAGGGTGCTGTCTCCACTCCCTACATCACAAAGGGTTTGCTGGTAATGTCTCACCACAAACAGCCCAGCAGGCATGAATACAAGGTCTGTAAATGAGTTACAGGCTGCTGCTGCTGTTCAGGAGCTAATTGAGCAGCCCTGGGCCAGATCTTCTCCTGCAAATTAAATCACTTGGAGGAGCGTGTAGCTCTTTTCCTGTGCTGAGCTGAATAATTGACTGAGATACAGCTGCCTCACCTAAACCCCAGCCAGATTCTGTAGGCTGCATAATAATTGCAAATGAGGAGAAAATCCACTGCTGGAGATGTTAAGCTGCTCTGTACAAAGCAGTGAGCAAACACTTGTGAGCAGTTCTGGGAGGCAAGGGGCACCATTTGGTCTCCAGGCAGTCCAGGCTCTCACTGTCCCTCCACAGAGATGGTGAAGGCAGCTTTTTGTGTGTGCATCCTCTTGATGTGCCAGAGGCCTGGCTCCAGGGAGGTGTTGGTTCCTACTGACCAAGCACTCTGCAGTGATAGGTTCTTACTCAGGAGGTCCACAAATAGCTGCTGGAAATCTGGGAGAGGTCTCACTGTCTTGTCTTCCATGCATTTTCTTCAACATCATTTGGGTGCTACTGGCCATAGGATGCTGGCTGGATGGGAGAAATCCAGACCCTGTTCCTCCTCACTTCCCAGTGTTTCCTTCCAGGTCTTTGGACTGGGGAACAAGACTTATGAGCACTTCAATGCCATGGGAAAGTATGTGGACAAGAGACTGGAGGAGCTTGGAGCCCAGCGCATCTTTGAACTTGGGCTGGGGGATGATGATGGCAAGTGAGTAGCTTGGCTGGAAGGGCTGGTCAGAGCAGACTGAAGTGTTGTGGAGGGACCTTGGCAGGGAGTTGGCTCCACTACTAAACCAGAAGTAAGCCCCATAGGGTAGTTGTGGGAACTGATGTGTTTCTGGTGTGTGTCTGTCCTCCCTCCCACAAGCACATCCCTGTACACTTGAGCATCCTGGGGGATCCTGTGTCTGGGAAATCCCATATCAGGTTTAGATGACTCTAGTTGTATACTCAGGGAGGCTTTGCAGCCTCTTCTTCCTTTGTCCTCCTGCAGCTCCATTGCCAACCCAGCCTGCATGGATAAGGTCACTCATCCCTAGGGAGCAGGCAAACTCCATCTCCTTGAGAGCTGTTTGTTTTATGGTGGGATGCAGCAATCTTCCCACCTGGATGATTACTTTTTTGGCCCTCTTTATGCTCGCCTGAGCACCCTGTGGGTTGCAGCTTGACCTGAGAAATGACATCACCCCATAGCTTTGCCTCTAGGGCCTGCATCAGCTGGTGAGGGGGATGTGTCCTGTGTGGGAGGTTCTAAGCCCAGAGAAATAAGCATTGTCATGGTGGGAGCTGCCTCTTAGGAAGATGACCTGATGGCAGGAGCTGGATAGAGTCTGAATAACAAAGCCTTCCTTGTTAGGTCTGGTGAAGGGAGGGGTGGCTGGTGTAGCAACAGTTCCCTCCCTCCCACCCACCTACTGCTCTGAAAATGCTCTCCTGGAGATTCGTGGGCAAGTGGGAGATACCAAAACTGCCTGGGTCCAAGGGCAAATGCCTTTTCTCATGGTGAAGGTGGAAGTCCATAGGGAACTCACATGGCTTCTCTGGGAATGCCCCTTTGTTCCCCCTTAGACAGGGTTGTTCAATGTCTCTTTTGCCCTGACTAGCCTGGAAGAAGACTTCATCACCTGGAGAGAACAGTTCTGGCCAGCAGTGTGTGAGCACTTCGGGGTGGAGGCTACAGGAGAAGAGTCCAGGTGGGTATGGGTGCAGGTTCTTTTGGTTACCCAAGAGATTGGCCTCCTCTGTGTGGTGGATGTGCCCTCAGCCCTGAGCTGCTGTCCCCTTTCTTGCATCCTTCCTCTCCTCCCAGACTTGGGGGGATACACGTGAAATAGGGGAGTGAGCGGGGCTCTTTGGACTGGTGTGAGTCTGAACCCAGCTCTGGATTTCTGTTCTGAATGGGTTTGGTTCCTCTGGGGATGGCTTTGCTGGGTTGTGATGCTCCCAGAGAAGCTGATGTTTTCCTCTTTCTTGGCCTTTCTGCATGGTCTGCCCACTCCCTAGTGTCTCCAGGGAGATGAGGGGGTGGAAGCGGCGTTTGTTTGACCAGCAACAAATCCAGCTGATGGTTCCAACTGCACCTTGTCATTTCCAGTTTGACTTTCAATTTTTTTTTCCTCTCTCCTCCTCCAGCATCCGCCAGTATGAGCTGGTGGTGCACACAGATGTGAACATGAACAAAGTCTACACCGGTGAGATGGGTCGTCTCAAGAGCTACGAGAACCAGAAGCCGTAAGTGCCAGACTGGGCGGGGGGTGTGTGGGCTGAGCTTCACCAGGGCATCCTTGATGTTCCCCCACTGCTCTGTGGGCAGTGTCATTTCTGCAGTGCAGCCACATAGCAGGGCTCTGAGAGTTGTGCTCAGATCTCCACTGGAGGACTCTCTCCAGTTAATGAATGAGTGTTGGAGAAGGTGACAGGGTTCCCTTGTGCTGTTTGGCTGGAGCATTTGAGGTCACTGGGAGCCTTTCCTCACCCAGGGTAGCTGCTGCATGATGGTTACCTGCTGCATGATGGTTACCTGCTGCATGATGGTTACCTGCTGCATGATGGTTACCTGCAGTCTTGCAGTGGGGAAGTTAGCTGTATAAATGATTCCCAACCTGAAATACCTCTTGGAGATGTGACATTCCCTCCCATCCACCTCTGCACCAGTTTTTCTGAATGGGGCAGGAGCTGTGGCCTGCTGGGCTGTGCCAAGGAGGAAGATGATCTGTTTTCTGTGGCAGTGGGAGCAGCAGCAGGATCATCATTCAGTTTGTGCTGTGGTCTGCTTTGAAACGTGAGCCAGGACAGCCCTGTGCTCAAACCATGGGAGTCTGCTCTGGAGTTAGAGGGAACAAGTCTGGAGCACTGTGAGCCTGCAGGAGAGTAACACAGAGGGTCCCTGTCCTTCCTTCCAGACCGTTTGATGCCAAGAACCCCTTCCTGGCCCAGGTTACGGAGAACCGCAAGCTGAACCAGGGTGGAGAGAGACACCTGATGCACCTGGCACTGGACATCTCCAATTCCAAAATCAGGTAGTTTCCCCATGGGAGAGTGGGCCTCTCTTCTAGTAGGAGCAGTCTGCATCAGAAGCAAAGAGCAAGGATGAGGTGCTGCCCTTATCTAGCACTTTGGAAGAGGACCTTGTTCTCATAATCACTTAACCCTGCCCCTCTGGACTTCTGTGCCACACATCAGGTACCCCATGTCAGGCCTTTCTCCCAGCTCTTGTGCTGTGTCTGGCCATGCCTGCTGGCTGGTCTGAGTCCCTCCAGAGCTGGCCACACACCCTTCCTACCTGAGCAGTCCAGCTGCAAGAATTCTCTAGGAGTTATGCAAAAAATGATGTGGCAGATGAGCTACGAGAGAGGGGAGAGCTGGGCGTGGCTCCTGGCTGGGTTTGTCTGGCCTTAGATACACAAGCATAGGGGGAATAAAGCCCTTTTTTATTTAAAGAAAATAAGATCTTGCTGGCTTAAATTCCCTCGTGTGTGTTTGTGAGAAAGCCACGAATCCAGGTGGGTTAACATAACTAAATACTTCAGAGAGAGGTTTTGAGCAGCTTTGCTCCCTGCCTGTCAGGGAGCTGGCCTGGCCTTGCTGGAAGTCTGGCCTTGCTGAGCTCTCTGCCAAAACTTCTGTGATTTTGGAGGTCCCTTGTGAACAACCTGGTTCTTAAAACCATTATCCCACAATGATCCTTTCTGCTGTTATTGGGGATCCCTACTTGTACAGGCACAGTTCAGATCTCAGGGTTGTCCTACTGCCCCTTGCACCAGCCTGTTTGTCTTCTAGCTGAGCAGCTCAGGCTTGGGGTGGATGAGAAGTGGTGCTGGTGTTTGATCTGCTCTCCTCCTGTTCTCCTGCCAGGTATGAGTCTGGGGATCATGTGGCTGTGTATCCAGCCAATGACTTCTCTCTGGTGAATCAGATTGGTGAGATCCTGGGCACAGATCTGGACACAATCATGTCCCTAAACAATTTGGATGGTGAGTATGGATCACTCTGAGTGTCAGCAGTTCCCCTTCAGCCACGGCCTCTGCCCTTCCTCCTGGAGCAGGAGCCAGATCACCCCTTCAGGTCCCTTGGGGCACATCCAGGCACACAGAGATGTCCCGTGGCCACTCTGAATGTGGTCCTGTTTTAGCAGCAGTGGCTCAGAGCCCGCTTGCTGGGAGCCAGCTGAAGTGGGTCAGTTGTGAAATGCCCTTGGTGTGCCCAATCAACAATGAATTATGAAACAGCAGGCTCCTAAATCCCGAGCAGCAGCCTGCCTGGGCATCCCTCTGCTGCCACCCAGCTCAGCAGAGCCCTTGGTGTCTGAGATGCTGTTATTCAATCCTGGGACGAGACACGGGCTTGGGGACTGAATTCCAGGCAGGGAGCACTTATGCTGCTACAAAGAGCTTTTCCTGGGCAACGTTCCCAGCAGAGCTGGCCCCTGGCAGCAGCCTGTGGCTGG